CCAGTCAGATTCATGGTCATGTCTTAGATACTTTACAATTCTCATCACAGATGGTGAGGGCAGTGCCTTTCCCAGAGAGCTCTCGTATTGGTTGAATAAGATAAATGGAACTTAACTGATTTTTCTTGTAGTGAGAAATGTGGAGAGCACATGTGGTATGCCCAGTACTGAGCTCTCAACCAAGTGGAGAGATACAAAAGAATTGAAGCTGGCTGCAGTCCTTCTGGTCTTATTTGGAGTTTTTGTTCATAGCACAGCAGGCAGAGTTCACCTGCTTTCATCTCTCAAAGAACTAATCACAGATTTCCAGAACTGAAAAGAACATTGAGCTCACCTAGTCTAGTCCTCTCGCTTTACATATGAGAAAACTTCAATGCCTTTCCCACAGTTAACTAGGTACTAAATAGCAGAACTACAGTGATTTCTTTTTTTTTTAGTTCATTTAGTATTTTATTTTCCGCAGTTACATGTAAAAACAATTTTTAACATTCATTTTTAAAACTTTGAGTTCCAAATTCTTTCCCTTCCTCTTTCCCCACCCCCCTCATTGTGAAAGCAGGCAATTTGATATAGGTTATACATGTGTAGTCATGCAAAACCCTTCCATTAGTCATGTTGTGAAAGAAAACATAGACAAAAAAAAAACCCTCAAGAAAAATAAAGAAAGTAAAAAAAGTCTGCTTCAGTCTCTATTCAGACACCATCAGTTCTTTGGGAATGGATAGCATTTTTCATCATTAAGTCCTTCAGACTTGTCTTGGATTGTTGTATTGCTGAGAATAGCTAAGTCATTCACAGCTCATCATCCTACAGTATTGCTATTTGTATACAGTATGTTTCACTTTGCATCAGCTGATGTAAGTCTTTTCTAGGTTTTTCTGAGAGCATCCTGCTCATCATTCCTTATAGCACAGTTTGTTTAAGCCATTCCCCTATTGATGGGCATCTCCTCAATTTCCAATTCTTTGCCACCAGAAAAGAGATGCTATAAATATTTTTGTACAGATAGGTCCATTTCCTTTTTGTTTTTTATCTTTTGGGATACAGACCTAGTAGCGGTATAGCGAGGTCAAAGGGTATGTCTGGTTTTATAGCCCTTTGGGCATAGTTCCAAATTTCTCTACAGAACGATTGAATCAGTTCATAACTCCACCAACAATGTATTAATGTCTCATTTTTCCCACGTCCCCTCCAATGTTTGTCATTTTCCTTTTCTTTCCTATTAGCCAATCTAATAGGTATGAGGTAGTACCTCAGAATTATTTTAATTTGCATTTCTCCAATCCGTAGTGAGTTAGAATATTTTTTTCATGTGGCTATAGATAGCTTTGATTACTTCATCTGAAAACTAATCATATCTTTTGATCCTTTATCAATTGGGGAATGACTCTTTTTCCATTTGATCAGTTCTGCTTTTTAAGGCATTCTCATTGGCTTTTTGGACCTCTTTTACCATTTGGCCTAGTCTGTTTTTTAAGGTGTTATTTTCTTCAGTATTTTTGGGGATCTCCTTTACCGAGGTGTTGACTTGTTTTTCATGATTTTCTTGCATTACTCTCATTTTTCTTCCCAATTTCTCCTCTACCTCTCTTACTTGATTTTCAAAATCCTTTTTGAGCTCTTCCATGGCCTGAGACCAATTCATACTTTTCTTGGAAGCTTTGGATGTAGGAGCTTTGACTTTGTTATCTTCTTCTGAGTGTGTGTTTTGATCTTCCTTGTCACCATGGTAACTTTCTGAATCAGAGTTTTTTTTTTCTATTGTTTGCTCATTTTCCCAGCCTATTAGTTGACTTTTAACTCTTTGTTAAAGTAGGGTTCTGCTTCCAGGGTGGAGGGCGCACTGTCGCAAGCTTCAGGGGTTTTATGCAGCTGTTTTCAGAGATACTTCTAGGGACCTGTAAGTTTTCAGTTCTTCTAAGGTGTTATGATCCAAGGAGAGATGTGTGCTACTCTCCTGGCTGTGCTCTGGTCTATAAGAGACCACACGTACTCTTTTCTGCCCTGGAACTGTGAGGAGGGTCCCCCCTCGCTGTGGCTGCAAGCTCTGCTATGCTAGTGCTCCTCCTCACCCTGGGTCTGCCCCCCAGGACTGTGACCCAGATCCAAGCATGAGCAATGCAACAGAGTCCTGCCTCAGTGCTAGCAGAGAGACCCCTGTAATCTCCTTCTGACCAGTTGTCTGACCCCCTTACCGTCTGTGGGCTGAGAGCTCCAGAAGCTGCCACTACCACTGATTGAGTGGCTCCCAAGGCCTGCTCCTGGTTTGCAGTGGCCGGGGCTGTGCTGGCGTGACCTGCACTGGATTGTGCTCTACTTTCACTCAGGCACCAAACTGCTATGGATTCCAATGCAAGCAAGCAAAACTCCTGCCTTCAAGGAGCTTACCTTCTGATGGGAGGAGATAACCCATAAAGGGGAGCAGAGGTGGGACGTGTGCTGTAGCATGGTTGGAAAATGCCCAGGAAATAATACAGACGCCTGGTTCCAGGCGAAGTTAAGGTACAAGCCAGAGTCGTGCGTCTGCCACTGCCCATCTGAATGTGGCCCGGGCCCCACAGCCATCATCGAGGGGAGTGATCAGTGGCCTGCCTTCCTCCCCACCACCCACACCAGCTGCTGACCTGCTGCCATCCATGCCAGGATCCCTGGGGGTAACAACATCCCCTAGATCCCTGGCCCTGCTTCAGCTCCACCCCCAGTCAGCAGCTCCTAAGGGAAAGGGGCCGGCCAGCCCCACCGACTAACTGCGCTCCTCAGGGAAAGCATGGCAGCCTAGCTGAAGCAGCAGGGCACTCTGGGGCAGAGATGAGAGAGGAAAGAGGGCCCCCTCCCTGGGCCTCAGTTTCTTCCTTACAGAATTAGGGAATCTTATTGGATTGGATAATCCCAAGAGTCCTCACCCTCACAGCTCCTCCATCCAGCCTACCTCCCCCTCTACCACTTTTACTCCTCCGTTCCTGGTTTGTTTCCCCCCCCCCCCCCCCCCCCTTGAAGATTCCTCCACAAAGCATTTGAAGGTATTGTTGATGCTGGTGTTATTGCTGAGTTGACCAAGCTAAATAAGGTAGTTTTAGCCCACCTGAACTCACTTTCTGAGCCAGCATCGAAGGGTTTGTGAAAAGGCAGAGGCCGGCCTGGTGTGTCAAGCCCTTCCTCTCAGGACCACTTTTCATAAACTTGGCTTGATTCCCTCTGAAATAGGAATTTCCTTTCCAGTTGAGGGGTGAGGATGGAATGCAGCTCCACAAGAAAACCCAAGGGTTAAAGAGTTCTCTAGGCTGTATTCTGCTTTTAGTCCATGTTGGGAGGGTTGGGGGCCGGGGGGGGGTTTCTAAGATAGGATTCACATAAGGTACCTCTTGGGGAAACTTGGGCAATTTTTTTTCTTTACCTAAGACCTTGGTAGGTTGGGAATATGTCATTCTCTTCCTCTTCTATCAATACAAATCTTCTTTGAAATTAAAACCAGGAATTAGCTCATTGCCTAACCTTATTGTTTGGCTAATCTGCAACCAGAGTATTTAACCAAGGGGAATTAAATTCTATTATGAGCACACACAGAATCAGAGTCGTCACCCTGAGTGACTACCTCCTCTTTGTCCTAAATAGAGACTAGGGACCAGGGAGAATCTGAGTGACAGATCCTCTGGTATCATTTCAGAATCTTGGCTTCTTAGGGACCGTCTAGTGCCCCCTCGCCCCCCAGAACAAGGTGGGTTTCTGCACTAGCTCCAGTGACTGGCCATCGGGACCTCCAGTGAGGTGGAGCCCGCTGCTTCTGACCTCGGCTCCGTTCATTTGGGGGTGTCTCAGGTCATCAGATGGGTCTCCCTAGATCACATCCAGATTTGCTGCTCTCTCCCTTAGTCCTGCTAGTTCTGATTCTGTCCTGCTGGACCCAACAGGACCAATCCCTTGGCTAGGTGATAGCTCTTCATGTCTGTCCTCCCCTTCCCCAAGTCTTCTCTTCCCCAAGATCAGTTCAAGAAACATTTACGAAATACTTAGCACGGGCAGACGGCTTTCTACATGGCGGATCTCTTGGCCCTCAAAGAGCCTTCGCCATCCACTCACCCTCACCATCAAGTTGGCGCCTTCTCCTTATGCCTTCCATTGAATGAGGGAAAGGGGTGGACAGACCTTCTGCCGAGGATGTCAGTTCTGTGGTTCTGTTGTTTTATACACACTTGATCTTGAGGATTGAGAAATAGCTTCCTAAACCAGCAAATCAGTCAGTCAGTTGACAAACATCCATTGAGCACTTACTTTAACAGTTCTTGAAGTCAGGTCTGGGGATCCCTGGAGGCCTCTGAGGCCCTTTCAGAGTGTCTGTAAGGGCAAAAATATTTTCATAATACCAAGATCTTTTGATTTCTAATAATAAACATCAGGAGATAGAACCCACATAAACAAAAGCTCTTTGGGAGGACTCAACTTTAAGCATATAAAGGGTTATAAAGACCAAAACACTTGAGAACCACTAACCTACTTCGTACCAGACATATGCTCAACCCCAGGAATAGAGAAAGAGAAGTGAAAGAGTGCCTGTTATCCCAAGGCCAGGGGACCACACGGAGGGACTCTGGCGAGGTCTGTGTGCAGAATAACCACAACAGGCTGCTTGGGCTGGATTGTTGGCCAGTAAATGAAAGGGAGAAATGTGTGAGGTAGAGGAAGGTTGAAGTCAGATTTTGAAGGACTCTAAGCACCCAACAGTGGAGTTTCTCTCAGATTCCAGAGGTAATAGGGAGCCACTGGGGGTGGTTGAGTGGGGGAGTGACCTGTCCTTTGTTTTTGTACCCCCAGTGCTTTGTGTCATGGCATTGATCTGCCTGGCTTGGTGTGTGCCGTGATTTAGACAAAGCAGGCACGTGAAAAATACTTTTTGGATTCCACTTAAGTCCACAACAGTATTCTTTTTTTGCAATTTTTTACCTATGGAGAGTTTTTAGCTGATGTGTTTAAAATATGTTTCTCCTCTTCTGTTTTTTGACCAGAACGCCTGAACAGTGCCCGAGTGTGGTTTCCTTGTTGTCGGAGAGTTATAACCCACACGTTCGTTATGGAGCTGCCATGGCGCTGGGTATCTGCTGTGCCGGCACAGGAAACAAGGTAAATCCTGTGATCAGTGAGGTCCAGCCTTTCCTGCTGTTGGGCCGCCTCTCCCCCTGGAGAGATCTAGAACCTGCCAGGGAGCATCCCCTCGGGCCTGGCTTTGTGCAATGCTTTTTGTCCCCGGGAGAGCGCTTGGGAGCCATCCCTGGCCCCATTTTGTTGTTGTTTTTGTTTGTTTGTTTGTTTGTTTTGTTTTGTTTTGTTTTTTAGGCAATTGGGGTTAAGTGACTTGCCCAGGGTCACACAGCTAGTGTTAAGTGTTTGGTCTGAGGCCAGATTTGAGCCCAGGTCCTCCTGACTTCAGGGCCGGTGTTTTATCCACTGCGCCACCCAGCTGCCCCACCTAGCCCCATTTTGTTTGCTCTCCCGCAGCCCCTATGAACAGGCTGTGCGGCTTTGCGCTGGGAGGTTTCCTTTAGTGTTTGGGGTAAGTGCCTTTGACCCCATTCCTTCCAATTTCCCCAAAACATGCCGTCATCAGATATCACTAAATGTTCTTAGGTTTGGGGTCACAAAGGAAAGAAAGTCTATGAGATAGGACAAGGGAAGCAGTGCCAGATGGGGACATGAGCACCATCTCAGCACTCATCATATCTGCTAAACCCCCGCCCATACCCACTGTCCCTCCCTCGTGTGGAAGCCCAGAGCTCAGCTCCCAGGGCTCACTCCCTCTCCCATGGCACCCATAAGGAAGAGGCAGAGCTGGGCTGAGAACACAGCTGCTTCTGAGGCCAGGCCTGCTGCTGGGCAGCCAGCATCGTCTGGCATTTGTGGTGCCGTCCCTGGTGCTGACAGTATAGGAGTCATTCGAGAGACATCTGGAAATGTTGGGCACATCCCCTTGTGTGCCAGGCCCCATGCACTCCACCCCCATGCTCTGTTCTGAGCACGCAGAAACAAAGGAGTGACTGTTCTACTGAGCGAGACATGTACACATAGAAACAATTAGGCACCGTCAGTATGTAAAGTGAATAAACACAGACACTCCCTGGGGAGTTAAATGTAAACTTGAGCACGGGATGCTGGGAGAGGCACCTGGGGAGGCGCTGGCCTTGCCCTCTGGGCTCCCCTCTACCAGTGGCTGGTCCTGCGGTCTCTCAGCCTCAGTTTCCTCAATTGGTAAAATGATGGGGGCAAATATCCACTCTTAATCCATTTGTAGGGAATGTTCCTCACGTAGATAATGAAGTGGTGACGGTGCTTGGAGACTCTCCTGCTTTGACCAAATGGTTCCTCCTGCCAGGGCGGTTATGAGGAAGGCAGGAGGCTTGTCGGCTGTAAAACAACTGTGTATGTGCACTGTGATACTCCAAGAGATCCATGCACCCTCCACTCTTGCAGATTGCAGCCTCTTCACAGCTTAATGGGCCGGTTTGTGCACTTCTGTTGCCACAAACATTTATGATCTCGTGCCCAGTGCTTTGGAGACACGGTGGATCCAGTCAGAATCCAACCTCAGACACTGACTAGCTGTGTGATCCTGACCAGTCACTGAGCCTCCCTCTGCCTCACTTTCCCCCTCTGTAAAATGGGCATGATGGCCGCTGTCTTCCACAGTGACTGTAAGCCCCCTGCCAGCCATGAAGTGCTAAGGAAGCGCTGGTGGTTGTCACTTAACAGGGCAGCTGGTGCCTCGGCCAGTCATCCAGGGCCTCGGGTCAAGCTTCCTGTTGTTAGAGTGCAGTCTTCCTGCCCGGCTCTTTGTCCCCCCACAGCGCTTCGCGGGCCGCCTCGGAGTCCAGGGTTGGGAGGCAAAAGGCTTCAGTTTTAGAAACTGATGGAAATGTAAGAAACTCACTTCAAAACATCAGCCGTCCAGGTCTGCCCCACAGATTGTTGGTGCTGAGATCAGATCCAAAGCCCTCCCACCCGTCATCTTTAGAATAGAAGCCAGAATGCCGATTGCTAGCATCAGTGCGGCGCTTTGAGGTTTGCGAACAGTATTTCATTTGATCCTCACAACAGCCCTGGGAGGGAGGTGCTGTTTTTATCCCTAGTGCACTTAAGAAACTGAGGCACACAGAGGCTGGTGATAGGTGATGAAACTGAAACCAAGATGAGGTGACTTCCATCGGGGTTCTCATTCAGGTCCTCCTGCCCACACTTCAGTTTCCTTCCTTCTGCACCCATGTCAGATTCAAGCATGTCCGAGTGTTTGGGACGCTTCCTCTATTTGATCATTTCTTTCTTTCACTCTGCACTGTTCATCACCAATAAAACTTTTCCCAGCTTTTCCCTAATGGAAATTCTTCTAAGGTCACTCTGGAATATGACCTTAAGTTACAGTCACCCGATGAGTTACTGTGCTGAGGGGCTGCTGCCCTGAATGATGGCCTGGTCCTGGGCCCTTGGTGGTGACCCAGAGACAGACAGACACGGGCAAGCACATACATGTGTCCACGCATGCACCTTCCTACAGGTCCACACAGACACGCAGGCATATTCATGTAGACGCCAGCATGCTCAGACACATTCTCTCCTCTCCCTGTCCATCTCCCTCCTCTGATAGGTCCTGGTGGGCTCTGGGCTCAGGTCAGCCTAGCCTGATTTATTCACTCGCCCCTGCATTAGCTTCCTGCTTCACATACAACATTCTCACCCAAAGCCTGGTCCCTTGGAGCTCGCCACCAGCCTGACTGATGGCTTATCAAGAGGCAGGGAGCCATCACTTACCATCTTGAACTTTTATCAATCCCACATTTCCTGCAGCACATCTTCCTCACTTTAGGAAAATCTGTTGAGCCGAATTTGAAGCTTGTGTTTGATAAACTTAGACCTGAAGCAGGAGCTGAGGAGAGAGGAGGGGCTGGGATCTTTAATCCATTCTGCCAGAGGGATGATGAAAATGCCCGTGGAGCACGATTGTTGTCTGGGAACTGAAGTCAGAGGGGCCAGAACAGGGCCGGCAGATTCTGTCCTGACAGCGGCTTGTCTGCAAAGTTGGGGCGTTTGATTTCCCAGTCGTTGGGAGCTCTTCCGGCAGAAGCGGTAGGACCTGCTTCAGGTAAAGGTTAGATCAGGTGTCCCTTGGATTCTCCCACCAGAGTCTGTGGGTTCCTGGGTATCTTGGCCAGGTGCACCCTGTCAAACCACTGCCACCTGCTGGTGAGGCGTGATACAGCAGGAGGCCCACTCCAGTTTATGGCCTCTTTCACTTGGAGGAGAGCAAACTCAGATTGCGGGGCTCATCAGCAGCAGAGCAAGGACTTGGTCTTGCCTATTCCGGAACTTCCAAGTGTGGAATCAGGGGCTTCCCCAGCCGTGACATTTGAGAAAAGATCCAGATCACAGAATTGGAAGAGACTTTCCCAGCTCTCTAGCCCTTACCCGAGAGGTGGGCACCCGGCCTTTACTTGAAAACTTCCCCGCGTCTGGGCTGGACTCCGGGGCCGCACAGGACAGGCCAACATCCCTTGGCCACGTGGTTGAAGAGAGTTCTTGGGTCATCCGCTGCCCCCAAGCCTTCTCCAGGTTTAACCCCTCCACTTCTCTCAGCCAGTCATCAGATGGTGTGAACTGGCGGCCTTTCCCCATTCTGGTTGCTCTCCTCCGCAGGCGCTTCTTAAACCATAGTCCCCAGAACAGAACAGTGTTCAAGATGAGTTCTGGTCAGAACCGAATTCAGAGGGCCTCCTGTTGCCTTATTCCCAGCTCAGTCTCTCAGCTCTACTATCCCACGCTTTTGCCTAACTTGAGCTAACGGTCTATTTGAAAAAAAAAAAACTAAACTAAAACAAGCTCTACCTCCCCATGAAGCATTTTTAAACCCAACTATAAAGTTTTACCCTGATCTTCTAAATTAATTCAGCCCAGGGTTCTAGCCTAAGATCTTTCTGCATCCTGGCTCTGTCATTAATCTGCCTCCCAGCCTCATGTCCTCCTCAGATCTGATTGTTGTTTATCTCTTTAGCCAAGAGGATGATTTTTTAAAAATGGTCGTTGGCGCGGGGCCCAGCACTGATCCCTGGGGCACTCCACTGGAGACTTTCTGCTAAGTTAACATTGAACCATCTGTACTTCCTCTTGGAGTATGGCCATTCACCCAGTTCTGAATCCATTTAGTTGGGCTCTTACTGTCTAGCCCCCCATCTCTGCATTTTTTTCCGCAAGAATAAAATGAGCTGTTTTATCAAATGGTTTCCTCAAGATGAGATCAGTTCTATACAGTTAGCATGTCTCTGCCCTCCACTTTAACCAGCCCCCTGGCGTGGCCTGTTCTTGCTCAAATGCTGGTTCTTTCTATTTGCTGATGATTTCTGCCTGTGTTTAATAATCGTGTCTGTAATGCTCATGTTAAAGAATCTTGCCAGGAATGGAGGTCCCACTCCTGTGCTTGTCATTCAAAGATTCTGTTCTCCCTGTGTTTGAAAACCAGGACCTGGCTGTGTGTGTGTGTGTGTGTGTGTGTGTGTGTGTGTGTGCGCGCGCGCGTGCACACGCATTCCCCCTCGGCCTTGCCTTGGCTTAAGTCTTGCTGGGCCTTGTTCAGTCCTATAGCTCCACTCCAGTCCTCTGTGGCCTTTCAGCCACCACTGATGGGGGCTCAGCAGCCACGGGCACCAGCTCTTGAAATCGCCAAAGATGTGGTTCAGCTCCCTTGACATAAACTATTTGGGGAGGGGCCCCTTCTTCAGCACATGCTACAGAAGAAACTGAAAAGCAAATAGGCAGAAAACCAGGTCAAGGCCAACATTTTACACACCACACATTCGTGCGTGTGCGCACACACAGAGTAAATTCTAGATGGATGCAGGACCTAAAGATGAAATGTCACATTGTTGGCTTTTTTTTTTTAATAAAGGAAAATTGCAGATTAAAAATGACTCACTTCACACCCAGCAAACTGAACAATGACAAGAAGTGGGAATAATCAATGTTGGAGGGGCTGCACGTATCATGATCAAAGATGGCGGGCTTCATCGCCTTTATTTTAGTATCTTGAGACAGCTCATCCTGTTTTTCCTCTTCTTGGAATGTCTCCAGATTCCACTCTTAGGAGTTTTCTGTCCTTCCTGAGCTGACTCCCCTGTGGAATTTGAGTTTGTGATAGTCTTCCCTTTGAAATAAGCTCTCCCCACATCTGGGGGGCACAGCATTGTACATCAGCTCAATACGTATTGTGGGATGGGCATTGAGCTAGGAAAACTTTGTCCAACTCTTCTCTCCTTAAACCATCGAAGAGGTAGAGGTCACTTTCCTGCGGGGTTCCCATTCTTTTCACCCCAACCCTGTCTTGTTGGTGAGAATCACCCCCAGCATAGAATCTCCCCTTCTTGGTACCCTTGCCTTTGGAAAGGCAAAACTTACTAAAGTACATCAAGGAACCATTAGCTGTGGAACAGCCAGGTGGCACAATGGATGGAGCGCTGACCCAGGAATTAGGACCTGAGTTCAAATTCGACCTCAGACATCATTAGCTGTATGACCCTGAGCAAGCCACCCAACCCCGATTGCCTCTTCCCTTCCCTGCCCCCCCCCAAAAGAAACTATTAGCTGCAATGCTTTTAGGAGAGAGTGGGAGAAAGACGTGATCCATTTTCCAAATTCATTTATTTTCTCTGGGCAGTGTGTACTATTCTCTGATGATAACATTGTTTCTTTTTGTCGCTTTCTTCATCTTTGCCCAAATGGTCCCCACCACCGTGCCCTCCTTGGAATGATGGATTTCCTCATGGGGGTGTACTTTCTTACTTTCGTAATGTTCAAAACACCCACATGTGTCTTCTCCCCCTTGTTTCTTTTGAATTAGGTCTGTCCATCCAGAGCCATGGTCCAGTTATGAGCATCATCCCATCAATTTACACTGATATCTTTCAAGTCAAATTTGCCTCCTTGCGTCAGGAAACCTGTTGTCTAATTTCATCTTCATTTGGCATAAGTTTTGTGTTTTTAGGCATAGATAGCTGAAGCCACCAAGGGCTTTCCTCCTGTGGGAGATGACACAATATCCCAGACGTAGGCTGGCTGGCCACTCAGAGGCGGTTTGAACTGACATTGTAGCTCCTGCTGTGAGGTCTGGCTTGGAGCATGTGGGCAGTCAGTAGCAAGAAAACATTTGTAGCCTACTCTGTGCACTGGCAAGGCAAAGAGAAAATACAAAAAAGAAAGAACCCTGGCCCCTGGGAGCTCACAGCTGGGTAGGAAAGACACCACCCAGAAGAAAGCTGAGAAGGGAGGGGTGCAATGGTGGAGGAGCCAAAGGCCACTAAACGGGGCACGTGGGAAATGAGGGTCTGAGGTCGCCGGTTTTCTCCTCTCCTCCCCCCACCGCGCCCCTTCCATCTTCAGTTTAAAGACCTTTTCGTTAGATTTGCAGGATAGCAGGCATGCACAAGCATTCTCTTGGTCTCTTCGGCCTTTATTAGGTGAGGGATCCTTCGTCTCTGGCCAGTACCCTGAGGCTGCAGGCTCATTTCTAAAGCTATGGAAATTCCCATTCCACCCTCTCCTTAAATCAGCTTTTCTCTTCTGTCTCCTTTGTCTTTGGGGAGCCCGCAGTCTTCAGTTTCCTGCCCAGGGCTTCATATCTCTGGCAAGGATCTTCCACCCCCATTCATGGGAAGTTCTTTTTTCTTGCCTGCATGCCCTTGGAAGACAGAAAATTGTTCAAGTATCAGTTTTTCCACTTGGCAGATGAGAAGACACTGGCACAGTAAGGCCGAGGGGCATGCCTGAGGCTCATCCACAGCTATTTAGTGGCAGAGCTGGGAGTCCTTGCAGCCCTAGGATCTTTTCCCTGAACCACCCTGCCTCCCTTTTGTCTAGATCACATCCTTACCCCACCCTTGGTGCTAAATCACCAGTTCCTTCAGGGCAGAACCCATACCTTGTCTGTCTGCCCACCAGCAGGCCCTGTGTGGTACATGGCATTTACTGAGTGAATGTATGAACTCAGGCTGTATCCATGGGGCCCTAATGGCAATTCTCCTTATTATGATCTTCAATGAGAAAACTTGACTGAAAATCACCTTCTAGCCTCTGGTTGCTCTGAAAGGCTTCTCCTCTGTAAAAGAAGGGTTTGCAGATAGGATATTTTCCCTGACACCATTAATAGATGTATTTACATTTTTCACACATTGAAAGAAAGTGAGGGTGGTGTTTTTTCCTTTCAAATCATTCCACATTCAGTGTGGTATTCTAAAACTAATGTTCTTTGAGACTCTGATCTGACACGCTAATTCAATGGAAATTTTCTGTTAGTCATGCCAGGCCAGTCTGCTTCATTTCTTAGTCATTTGTTTGATCTAGAATAGATAATAGAACCTGCCTGGATCTGAGGGCTGTGCTTTAAGGAATTTATTTCTTAAGGATCTGAAACATCTGTTTATAACATCTGTGGGTATGTGCCTCCAAGACTATTCATATATCTTCATTTATAAATTAGAAATGAAGTTATGCTTCTTGTACTTATCTGTAATGTGTTCTTTGTAAATAGTATTACAAACATTTGGATAATGTATAATGTTTGCACCATCGCACGGGGGTTCCAAGTTTGTCCCTACTTCCTGATCAATCATTTAACCAAGAACTCTGAAAGAGCACTGACTTACCAAATCTCTTCATCAGAAATTTGAGCAAAAATAATTTGGTGTTTGAATAACACATGCTGAGGTTTACTTCATCTGAAAGTTCCCTTTGAAAATGTCTTTAGGAAGCCATCAATCTGTTGGAACCCATGACCAACGACCCAGTGAACTACGTGCGGCAAGGTGCGCTCATCGCCTCGGCTCTCATCATGATTCAGCAGACGGAGATCACTTGTCCAAAGGTGAGCCAGACAAGACGAAGGGCGCAGAAGGGCTGAGATTTTCCCTGCAGCTTGTCTTCTTGGGCTTCACCATAGCTTCGCTCAGCGTCAGAGGGAAAACATTTGAATACGCTGAACCGAGCGGGAGGAAAAGGGTTGGAAGAGGCTTGTTCGTTTTAAGGACAATGAAAACATCCAGTATTTGTTAAGCAGTCTTTAAAAATGAAAATTACTTTGTTCAGGATCGTAAAAATGTGTGAAGAATTATTTATAGAAATTTTGTATGGAAAAATAATATTGGGTGTGTTCAGTTTTAAGTTGAACTTATTAATACCCCAATACATTTGCTAAGTGGCTAGATTTTTAAGGAATCTTGCTTCTCAGTCTCTGCCCTATGAGAGTGGGCAAAAATCTGAGAATTAGAAGAAATCAACTTCTTTGGTTTGTTTGGTTTTTTTTAGTAATACAAGGAATGTTTTCTGAGACTAATGCCCTCAATAAAGTCTGCAGGCACAAGGCCCAGCTAGCAGGACTGTGCAATAACACGGGCATGAGGTGGGCTAGGCTGGTCCTAGGGCATCGGGGAGAAGATGTGGGGAGGTGCTGGAGAAGTGTGTGTTCAAATTAAAGAGCTTCAGCACTGGGGAGTAGTCACTAGTCTACCATCAATATTTGTGAGTGGCCAAAGTCTGGGCCAGGTTGTCCCTGAATGGTTCTCCAGAGAAGTCTCGAATGTCAATTCGGCTGTTCTCTGATGATAATCAACATTATTTCAGCTATCCTGTCACTAGAAAATACGTGTGTGTGTGTGTGTACATGTATGTGTATAAGATGAGAATCTAATTGGATATGTTTAATCCAGGGACAAACCTTCCAGAATTCCAGAAAGGCTCATGTACTTGAAGCCCAGAAGGGTTACAAAGACTAGTAGGTGCATAGGTGAGCGTGAGCTTGAGCACAAAGCTTGATGAAGACGATAGCCTTTCCTGTGTCCTCGTGAGAATTCCTGCTGCTGAACACCAGAGACTTCTCATTGGAGGGAGGGTCAGGTATAGAGCTGACGTTTTCACACGTCCAGAGAAGAGCGGTCAGACAGACTCTTGGCCTCAGCATCTCGTCTCCAGGTCATGTCTTTGAGGACTTCGTGAGCTTTGCAGATTTGGCGAAAGCAGCTGGGTTTAACCGCAGATAGAGCTAGCGCTACCCTAATGTCTCCTGTCGCTTCTCACAGGTCAGCCAGTTCAGACAGCTGTATTCCAAAGTCATCAATGATAAGCATGATGACGTCATGGCAAAGTTTGGTGCTATCCTGGCCCAGGGCATCTTGGATGCAGGTAAATGCCTTGTTAGAATTGTCACAGACTAACTTTCAGTGTTTAAGAAAACATTTGGCTTGGGATAGCCAAGGCCATCTCCAAGGCTCCTGTCCCAAGGGTGTCCACCACGCCTCCATCGACGCCAGACAATGTGATGGCAGCGTGGTCCAAGGCTCCTTGGGTCATTGCCAACACTTTGGCTGTACCGCAGCCAGCTCACGCCTTGTGGCCGTGGTGTTGGCCAGTGTCACGGAAATGTCCTGCTCAGAGTCGACACTTCAGAAGACTCACATGGAACTCTCGTCTCATCTCCTTGGGAGTCCCTCCAGCCGTACAGAGCACAGCCCCTCAAGGCCTGCATGGCCTATACGGGTTTGTGCGGGGCTTCCCACAGACTCAAGCCAGGAGGTCTACCTCATGCCGTGGGGGCCTTCTTTGCTCTCTCCCAACATGGAGAAGGTGGCAAGGGGACACTGAGGCAGCTGGGGGCACTATAGTACACAGAGCTCCAGACCTGGAGTCAGGAAGACCTGAGTTCAAATCTGGACTCAGACACTTACTGCCTGTGTTACCCTGGGCAAGTATTTCACTTCCGTCTACCTCAGTTTCCTCATCTATAAAATGGGAATAATAATAGCACTTCCCTCCCAGGGCTGTTGTGAGGACCCAATGAGATGATGTTTGTAAAGCACTTAGCACAAGGCCTGGTCCGTGGTAGTGGTTATGTGTAAATGCTTATTCCCTTCCTTTCTCCCCCTCCGACTGTCAGCTTGTCATCCCTCACCCTGGCCATGGGACAAAACCATCTTCTCTTCCTATCAAACATTTCCTTGATGACATTTTTTACTCCTGTTTTTCTGTGAATTTCCTCGTGGACTGATTATCTATTGCATTGTCTGGTGGATGCTACTCATCCGTGTCTTGCAGCTATTAGCAACGCCAGTGGACTATTGTGTCTGAAAACAGGGGGAAGCTGGGGGTCACGAAAGGGGCCTTTCAGTTTCCTGCAGGTGGTGTGTCCTGCTCTCCTTGTATTCGGCTCCAGGCCCAACTCCTTGACCGTCCCCCGATGATTGACGGTCGAGGTGTATACGTTGGCCGTACAAATGCAAGGGACATTCTCAGTCCCTGTGGTCTTCCCTGCAAGGATGGCCGAGCCAGCTCTTTTGAGCAGTCACAGATCTCTTCCCAGGAGGCTCTGTGATGTCCGAGGGGCTTGGCGCACCAGCACAATGTCATCTGCCAACCAGAGCCCACGAAGACTTGACCGTGCACCAGGAGTTACTCCTTACCAAGCATGTGGCGTCCCATTTGATGACTTTGCCTGAGGACCGTGAGCAGAGTCCACACACAAGAGAAATGCCCTTTGATGGCCAGATCCCTCACATGCTCTTGTTTGGGAGAGGCCACAGTACTACTGACACCAAGGCCCCCACCCCCCAGACACAGCAAAGCCTCCGCCACTGGGACCCACAGCAAGAGTTCTTTAAGTTGTAGCAAAGAGTAGAGACTAGGAGGGAACAGCTCCACACACCCGATGTGCACATGATGGAATATTTCAGCACAAGAAGTAACCCAAGGTGGGGATTCAGAGAAGCTGAGGAAAACCGTGTAAACTGATGGAGTCAAGTGAGCCTAACGTCTCCAACACCACAGTCGAGACAGGTAGCCTGGAAAGGTTTAAGAAGTCTGGTGCAGGAGGTGGGCCGGCGGGGTCTGTTTGGTTTGGTGGTGTGTAAGTATTCCAGCGGTAGCTTGTCCTTTCCCCCCAACATTGGAGGAGGTGAGCGGATGGCCAGCATGTGCTAACAGAAAAAAGCGGGGCTAAGGCACAAGAGAAAAGAGAGGACAGGCCAGGGCAGAAGAGAGCACCATCGAGCAGGACGGCTTCGAAAGGGACTGTTGGCTGTACAATTCTCATTTTTTGTTCTGCCTTCTGTAGGGAAATCGTGATTTTATTTGGTGTTTATTGAATTCAAAATAAAAATTAAACTCAGAAATAAATAAACTCACAGCATTTCCAGATAGATTGAGTTAACCACCCACAAGAGAAAAACAGGATGTGGAGGGTCAGCTGAATATTTCCCTCTTTCATGATACAGCTTAACTAGCATAGCTGCCTTAATCTGTGACTCATTGATGTCCAAGTGAGTCACCCAGATTGGCCCAAATTGTGTAGCTTCAAGCTGACTGCCCCTTTCCCAGGTCTGCTCACAAGTAGGACATTGGGAAAAACTCCTTTTTTTCCTTTTTTTTTCCTTTTCTTTCCCTCTTCTTTTTAGAGGAATTACAAAACAAGGCCATGCCCATAGGGGTGAGCTGCAAGAGGAGGAAATCAAAGAAATCACAGGTCTGGATCACGCCCAGGACGACATGAGAAGTATTCCAAAGAGGCCGGCTCTGTTCTGACGCACGTGGAGCCAGCCTCCTTCCACCCCTAACAAGCTCATACTAAGGCGTTTTTCAAACAGAAATCTTTACAGAACACAAACATTACCCCACGACCAGATTCTCGACTTGTGTCTGACACTGACTCACCGTGTGTTGTCGAGCAAGCATTAACGCAGTGAGTCAGCAGTCACAGAAACTGGCTCGTCCATAACTGGAAACCATGTCATTCTGGTCATCCCTCTGAAGACAAGAGATGGCTCATCTGGCGAGGTCTGCAGAAGGGCTGCTTCGATGATGGGAGGAGGAAGGGGGGCAGCTTGATAGAGATGAATTAATAAGGTCACAGAATTTAAGTCTGGGAAGATTCTTAGCCATGATCCATTCCTCATTTCACAGAAGAAAAAACTGAAGCCTAATGAGATGAAGGTGATCTTCACTTTTTCTGAGTTGAAGGACATGATGAGCTGAACCTCTATTTGGGACTGATGGGGGACCAACCCACAAACCTTCCCTTCCCCCACCCTCAACAAGGGAGAAACTGACTACTGAAGCAGAGATCACGGGAATTGTGGGGAAACTAACTGCTCCACCTTAGAAAATCATGGTAATGAAAGGAAAGATTTCCGATTGTTTCCACAAGGGTGGGATCCCATGACCCAAAATTCTCCAGGGGAAATATACCCAGCAAGGCCTGGGAAAATCTAAAACAAGTTCTAGCTGTACCTAGCAAAATCATTCCAATGACAAAGAAAATGGAATGTTGCCCAAAAGATCAGTATGGATACCGACGAAGGTCAACCAACCAAGGATGGCTGCAGACGTGGCCACTGTCCGAGAGGCGCCATTGCTGGAGGCCACGGACTCCGGAAAGGGCAAGCCAAGGCCGCTGCTCAGGTGGACGTGGGTGCGTGACACAGGAGACACTGGCACAGGACTACCCAGCGTGGCGTGCCCGCGTCAAAGAAGGCGCTGTGCTCTGTGAGCAAAGCAGAATTGTGGTCACTCGAGGGAAATGTGAGATGCACAAATTTAGAGATCTGTGCTCCAGATATTCAAATGGGCTCTTTGTGGCCAGCCTGTGGTAGGGCCTGCCATGCTCTTATTGGTCTGATCAGCCAGTTGGACACGCTGGACACTGACCCCGACGTAGCAATGGCGTTTTAGTCCTCTCCAAGCACAGGCAACAGCCAATACTCAGCTTGCCTTCATTTGTAGCAAGATTTGTTCCACATTGCCCTTTGTGTTGAGTCTGGCGCTTATAGAAGGGGGGGGGGGGGGGGTTCTCTTCAGTAACTATTTCTGCCTACTCTGAGCGCAAGCCAGGGGAAGCAGATGGACTCCTTGCTTTCAGGGAGTTTCCAGTCTTATTCGCAGAAAGCCTGCAAAGGGTGGGTTAAGTCCTGAGGCTTCAGTGAAGCGTAAAGTATGGGGAGGATCTCAGCAAGGAGTAGTGTGAACAGATAGAATGGGGCAGCTGGGTGGCGCAGTGGATAGAGCACCGGCCCTGGAGTCAGGAGGCCCTGAGTTCAGATCCGGCCTCAGACACATAACACTTACTAGCTGTGTGACCCTGGGCAAGTCACTTAACCCCATTGCCTAGCCCCCCCCCCAAAAAAAGTGTAGGGTGTCCACTGGCACTAGCACGTGCCCACTGGGGGCACAGAAGAGAGAACAGGAAGGGAGAAGAGGGGACTTTGGAGTCCTGCAAAGTAGATAGCACAGTGTCCCCTAGACATTTCCCCTAGATTTCCCCTAGAGGTGAGGAAAGGCTTCCTAGCAGTAGGATCCGTCTCTTCTCGAGGAGGGCTGCCCTGGGAGATTGTGGTCTGGTCACATCTCCCAGCCCCACCCGCCCCAGGGAGGTGTTCAGGCAGAGGCTGGCAGGACCGCAGCCCTCTGGGTGTCGGGGCTCTAATGCACCACCCATCATAGTCACACCACGCTCACCGCTTCTTTTCTCTTCCTCAGGGGGCCATAACGTCACCATCTCCTTGCAGTCTCGAACTGGCCATACCCACATGCCTTCCGTGGTGGGCGTCCTGGTCTTCACCCAGTTCTGGTTCTGGTTCCCTTTGTCCCACTTCCTGTCCCTGGCTTATACTCCTACCTGTGTCATCGGCCTTAACAAGGACCTCAAGGTAGGTTCCTTGGGTGTGGCTCCATCTCTTTTGAACCAAGCCTGAAAACCTGGAGCTGGCGTGCAGCCCATTCTCTGCCCCACCCAGGGAGGTTGGGTGGGAAAGGGACGTGGTCTCTGCGGTGACTCCTGCTTGTGTCCTTTGGACATGAAGCTATGAGAGTGTTGTAGCCATCCAAGTGAGATAGAGATCAGTGCAACCTTAGGAAGCAGGGTCCTGGGCAAGGCCTACAACATACAAAGAAGCCATGAGACCCAGCCTTGGGCCCGAGACAAATGTGCCCAGCTCTGCCTGTTAGAATGTGAAGAGTGTCCAGTCAGCATGTGGTGAGAGAGGACCTTTGGGGGCAGAGATCCCAGAAGGCCTGATGAAGCGGTTTGCCCCTAAGCTTGGCCCTTCAGAAAAGGCTCTTTGGAGGCCTGTAGGATGGTGTATACTGGGGCCAAGGGACAGGGGGGCAATATGAGAATGAAGAGGGAGGGTCAGTCTCAAGGCCGGCAGGGCAGTCATGGCTGGGGGTAGCTTGGAGCCCGATGGTAGAGCACCTCCAATGCTGGTCTAAGGAGTTACTGTTTCGTTCGGCAAGTAGTGGGACTCCTGAAGATTCTTGAGCAGAGAGTGATGTGTCAGACCCACAAATAAAAGGACCATTTTGGGGAGGTGGGCTGTCCCCAGTTATCCCAGGTAGAATGGATAGTGGAGAGCCGATCGACCAGCTTTATATGTGTCACTGACAGTGGCGTGTCCGGTGCCCGGCCTAGCACTTGCTCCCCTGAGGTTACAGGCCAGAAGAGACATTGTCAAAGGGACAGCAGGCACAGTCCTTTGGCCAATACATGGAAGCAGTGCTGAGCCATACAAGATGACCCTGTTCACACTTGGCCTCGTATCTGTGTGTTTACGTCATGACTCCTGTTAGGCAAGAAGAAAGCTTAGTTACGCCTTTCGCCTGTACTCGAGGAGGTTAGAAGACAGGCCTCGGTCACTGTGCGGCGTGAATGAATGAATGGAGAGAGGATCTCCACCAGAGAAAGAGACATTGCGGCGGGCCCCTCTGGGACCCATGCAGTGATGAAGGGGGGCTGGGCCAGGCCCAGCCCATGCTCAGTATTGATATTAGGACTTGGCAGTTCTTCGTACTGCATCTGTCGCCAGCCCTTGGAGCTCATTTTCTTGTTCTCTGTGGCCTTTTTGATAGCAGGCAGTTAGGTAGGCCAGGATACAGAGCCCTAGGCTTGAAGTGAGGAAGACCCGAGTTCAAATCCACCTTCAGACACAGCTTAGCTGTGTGACCCTGGGCAAGTCACTGAACCTCTGTCTGCCCCAACTATGAAATGTAGGTAAGACAGCACCTGCCTCCCAGGGCTGTGGAGAGAATAAAGTAGATACTTGCAAAGCACTTTGCAAACCTTGAGGCACTCGGTAAATACTCTCAGTCATGGAATATTGAACGAAAGGGTCAGCTCTTTATTTAGGGTGGCTTCAGTCTTTGGGTCACATGGTCCACAGAGTTAGTGTGACGTCATAGTGATTTTTGAAATCTGCCCAGACGCTGTTCAGGTTGATCATTGTTGGGCAGTTTAACCACACAGAGCAAAGAAGTTGTTTCCCCAGAAGCCCAGGCAACCCAGAGCAGAGAACAAGTGGGGGACATTTAGGTCAACAGATAGAAAAACATTTGAACCCGCCTCCTTTGAGGTCAGGCTGGTCGTGCTGTACAGACACTGAGGGTCACTCTGATCGAGTGGGCGTGGCCCCGTGGAGCCCGTCCAGGCCAACGAGCAGATGGAGAAGGTGGGGACTGGGTCATGATTTAATGGAGGAAATGGCAGGGCAGTGTTGAACTTGAGGGGAGAGTTCTGGATTTCTTTCATGTTTGTTCACATACACACGTCTCTAGGAAGTGAACTGTTTAAATCCCGTCTAATTCATTCAAATTTGTCTGTATCTCTCTTGTTTCTTATATTTCTTCAGATGCCAAAAGTCCAGTACAAGTCCAACTGCAAACCATCCACATTTGCATATCCCGCACCACTCGAGGTGCCGAAAGAGAAAGAGAAGGAGAAGGTGAGGGGCCTCAGTTCGGGGTGGGTGCTTCAGGCCCCATCTGGGTCAGCAAACAGTAGAGGAAATGCACCCTGGTGGCATCTTCTGCACACGCTCAGGCTTATGTTGGCTGGTTAACCCTCTCACCCTGTGTAGCACCGTGCCTGGCATGTAGTAGACACTGAGTCAATGCTTATTGGTGATTGATTATATAGGATCATAGATTTCACACTGGAAGCAACCTTGGAGGCCACTGAATTCAGTCACTCTCCCTCCTCCTCCCCATTGTGTTGATGAGAAAATCAGGCAGAGAGAGGTTGTGATGTGCCCAGGGTCACATTACTAAGGAAAGCCTGATGCGAGAGTGCAGACCAGGTCCTCTTGCCACCAGGTCCAGTGCTTTACCCGCCATCTTGGGCTGCCTCTCCCAATGTCGCTTTCAGGGGGCTTTGGCCAGACCGGTTGCAGAGCCTGCGAGGTGTGATGGATGCCTTAGGGGAATTGCATCCTGTCCCTTCAAAGGCTCTCCTCTCTTCCTGGTTCTTATGCCATTATCACTTTGGCAAGAGGATGGGGGTTGGGGAGAGCCCAGTAGGCATTTCCCCAGAGCAGCCACCTGCAAACTTTGTACTACCTTTCTTTGTCCATCTAATTCACTAAAAAAAAAAACCAAGCCCTGTTACCTGGGATGAATGAAATGATTCGTGTGCTCCACCTATAATAGCACATCCTTCCCGTGAAACCGGAGATCTGGATCTGAGTTTTTCCCTGAGCCCTGACTCACTAGCTAGACGATCTGGGACATTGAGAATAGCACGCTGGCAGAAAATGGAATAGAGATGTGATCTGTTATTAGGGTTACTGTTCTGTGGCAGAACAAGGCCATCCTCTGCATTTAGACACAAATGTTCCAGAGACAGATTATTAATTAAATTATTCTAAGTATCTCTACTTAGACAGAGGAAATTCACAGGAACGGAAATTCATCCTGCCTTTGAAAATCTCTCTAGTCAGTCCATTTGTGAATTAGAATTTATAGAGGCTTAAGGACTAAAATCTATGCTACAGTTTTGATTTAGCAGACAGAGTGATAGTCACTTCACCTTCTGCACCCTCTGGAGAATCATTTCCTAAAGCCATTCAGCCACTTTTTGGAACCCCTTTCTCTATGGATTTTCCTTTTTTCCTGGTCAAAGGTGGCTTTGAGATACTTCTATTAATTGAATTCGTCAAAGACCTGTTACTTCTTTGAGTGTGATAAGAGCATTTCCTGACCTAGGCCTTAGATCAGAATAGCCTAGAGAGCCTTCAGTGCTGGCCATTGTTTCAGAATTGGAAGTTAGCGGAAGGCTGATGAGATTTCTCATTCAGATTAGACCAAGAGCTTTAGACTGAAGTGCTGCTTTGTGCTCCCCAGAAGGACCGGTGAGGGGGAGCACTGTTTAGCATGCTTAACCATGGGTAAGGAAGCACTGTGTCCGAGAAGTAGGAAGTCCTCCCAGGAGCCACGTTCCAGCAGGAGCAGACACTTCAGTAAATGGGTGTCCTCCCACTGCTGTGGCCAGCTCCATGGAGTCCTAAACATCTCATCCTTCCCGGCGTCTTAAGAGCATTGTAGGGTGGGGTCTGGCCTGGGTCTGGCAGCCAGTGCACACGGAGCAGGGTGCCCCCGCCCACCCATTCATCCTGTCTGTCCTTCTCCCTAGGTTTCTACCGCTGTGCTCTCGATCACCGCCAAGGCAAAAAAGAAGGAAAAAGAGAAAGAAAAGAAAGAGGAAGAGAAAATGGAAGTGGTCAGTACAACTAAGTCATCTTTTCAATTGAGTAGAATTAACAAGCCCTTCATAAGAGGCTGTTCTGGGCATGCGCCCTCCCTCACCCTTACACTCCTGCACCTCCACACCCCTGCCTGGATCAGGTGCCGGCACAGCTGGTTGTATTCTTAGCAAGTTGTTACAGCTCCTCGTACACGTCTGTGCAGTCTTTGATATTATCCAGCCAGGGGAGGAAGCAGTCTCCCAATGGCTGGCTGGCCCAGGGGGCTCAAACAAGTCCTGTGCCGAGTTACTGGCAGAGCTTACAAGGATTTCTCTCTGATAGCCACGGCAGTTACTATGACATGGGCCTTCCCCGAGGGACCCTAGGCAGGCTTTGACTTACCACTGAGCCCCGCCTTCTGTAATCCCCCACTTGTTTTTTCCTTCTCTTACGTTTTTCACAATTTCTTACTCTTTTAATTAAGAATCTTCAGGGGGGCCAGGAATGGGTTCACAAACACACACATGAGCATATCGCTTCCTTGTCATGGAAAGCTCACTACCTACCACAACCATAGGATCCTCTCTCCAGAGCTCTCACAGGCCTCATTTTTTGGAAATGGTAACTGAGGCCCGTTGAGATTAAGGGGTTTGCCCAAGGCCCAAAGGTAGCCGGAAGTGGCAAGAGCTGACTTTTGCGCTCAGCTTCTCTAATTCCAGAACCAGAGCTTTTTCCACTGTACCACACAGGTGGGTCATCCTACAAGTATTTATTTCAGTCCCTTTGAGGAATTTAAAAAAGTTATGCTCTTCAATGAGAACTTGATTTTTAAACTCGTAAGATCACAGACTTTTTGATTTGCAAAGGCCCCTAGAGGCTCTCCAGTCTAATTGCCTGACAAATGAGCGTCCATCCTCTCCTTGAACATGTCCACTGATGAGGAGCTCCTGCCCGTCTTTGGAACATGCATTCCATTTAAGACCACAGCAAAGTTCTTTCCTGTATGGAGCTAAAGTTCCCGTCTCTGTAACTTTCATTCACTTCATTTTGTATAAGCAATCAGGCCTTTACCAAATACTATGCCTGTCCTCAAGGAACTTCTGTTCTAAAGGGGGAGATAGCACGTAAAATACAGATATATGCAAACCACATTTTGAAATGTATGAACAAAGTTAAGGACTAGACATGTGATTTCAGTTTTATAGGGAATTCCTAGGTGAGGAAACTCCCCCCTATCAGTGCAGGCTCCCCTGCCCCTTTCAGCCAGTTACTGTCCATAAGCATGGGCCTGGTGTCACGTGGCCAGTGTCTGTCAGTGTTCCTGGCTTCAGGGTCCAGCTCTCAGTCTCCTAAACCACACTCTCTCACATACTGATATGTGGCTATAAAATGAATATAAGGCAGATACAAGGTCACCTCAGCAGTGGGGACAAGCTCGGCATGGCTTCCTGCCAGAGGAGACAGAAGAAACCAGGGGTCCCAAGAGACAGTGATAAGAAAGGAGAGTATTCCAGATTTGGACACAGGGGAAGATGGTGAAGTGTGGCGTTTGTGCTTGGACCAGAGAGGGCACACACAGGAGGAACACGGAAGAAGGCTGGAAAAGTGGGATGGGCCAAGGGGGCAAAATGTTATAAGTGTCCACCAGGAGCTTATATTTGACCCTAGAAGTGGAAGGCAGCCATTGAGTAGAAGGGGTGAGCTGGTCAGACCTTGACAGCTGAGTGGAAGGTGTATTGAACGAAGCACACACTTGAGGCAAGAGGTCCAGAGGCAGTGTGGTAGATGAAGGGACAAAGGCCTGAGCTAGGCTAATGATTGGGTGAGTGGAGAGGAACATGCCACAGATATTGTCGAGATAGAAACAGATTCAGCTACTGATGGCACATGCAAGCGAGTTAAGAAAGAAGCAAGGACGATGCCAGTGACATTGAGGATATAGACACAGGTGACCAGAAGGATGTTCATACCCTAGGCAGAAATGGGACAGGCACCTATGGGCGAAAGCTGGATAGTAAGTTCTCTTTGGGATGTAGTGAGCTTAAGATGCCTACAGGACACACAGTTGGAAATGCAGTTAATGAACAGTTGTTGATGGGTGACTAGGACTCAGGGGAAAGACTGGAGCTACAACTAGGTCAGGAATCATCTGCATGAACCCCTAGGAGCTAATGAGGTCAGTCACCAAGTGGGAGAAAAGTCAGACACGTGGGCAGAGAAGCGAGAGTGAGGGTGCCAGGCAGAGCTAGAAAGATGAGGGTATCCAGGAGTGGGCAGTGCCACAGAGTCAGGAAGGAGGAAGACTGAGCAGAGGTCATCCATTTGGCAGCCATTGCCCCGTGCTGGGTGCTCGTGGAAGATGCCGAGATAAACAAAAGCATGGTGTCTGCTTTCATGGCATTTAAATTGTGATTCTCCCTCTAGGACAAGTGGATGCATCCATGTGCTCTGAGTTCACTGGAATTGCCTAAAGCACACATTTTGCAAAAATGCTTGAATGTTTGCAGTGGCGATCTCTGTGTTCAGTGCCCATGTCTGCTTATCTTTTTTATTGTGAACCTTTTGCTTTTTAATTTGGTTATTTTCAGCTGCGTAGCTTAGTGGCTTCCAAGAAGGCCAGCTTCTGCTTAGAAACTTACTGCTTAATACAAACCAGACACCAACCTCATATTCATTTTCCAGTTCAGCCTTCTCTCATGGTGCCCTAAGCTAATTAGTCACTCAGCTCTCTTCACTTTTTCATTGAATTATAAACTCCTCTAGGGTCAGGACCAGATCTGTTCTCTATCGTGTTAGTACTTTGCCCTGTACCCCATGGCCATTTAGCCCCACTTAGTGGTGCTGCTGATGATTTGGGGTGCTACCTAATTTGGCGCTCTGGTTCCTACAGTATATACCGCTGCTTTGATGAAACTTTGACTCGCGCCATGGAGCACCACTTCCTGAATTACTTATAGATGTGCCCTGCCCACCACTGTCTCCATCAACATTATCTCACAATAATGTTGTTCATATATTATAATCAAACACCACTCTCCTCACTAAACCCTGCTCTGATCCCTGTTTGGCCAGTTGCACACAATGCACATTATCTCATTTTCCTATGGAATTAACTGTTTTCCTGTAATGTTCTATCGCCTGATGTGATGTTTTGCATAGCTCCCTAGCAACCTTATCCCTGGGTAGTCACCTATCATAGGCAATAAAATATTTCCTTAAGATTTTTATAGTTTCTTGACTAAGGTCATAGGGACACAATTATCTGCAAGAACTCCAATACAGTTTAGAGGCTCAACTCCCTTCCAAACTGTTTAGGTTAAGAACTTAATTCTGGGAGGCAGAGTCAAGATAGCAGAGTGAGAGTCAACATTTTTGCTCAACACACCTCCTCCACAACAACTTAGAAAATGTACCAGGCCAAATTCTGATCAAAAATGCCCAAGAAAAAGTCAGCAAGTCATTTTCCCAGCCCAGGACAGCTTAGGAAAATAGTCAGAAAAGTCAGTCTGTGGACGCAGGTGGGGGCTGACCAGGAGCACAGCAGTGGCAGGGGAGCTTTCTAGTGCCCAGTGGCAGTAATGGGACGACAACTGAACTCAAAGGCTGGAAGATCCTAGGGCACCCCTGACCCGGTACTGGGCGCAGGGATAAATGCCACCTGACAACTCTGTCACTTAATACCCAGTTCTGAGTGACACTTCTAGGTCAGAGAGGAGCAATCATAAGCAAGAGAGGCCCTACCTATGTACAGAGCAAGGAAAAAGTTCTAAAAACTTAGTTGTGTGTCTCTGAGCCCAGGAGCCCAAGGACACTCAGTTCTAACCTTAAACCTGTATGTAAACCAAACAGTGGAATAACCAGGGTAGGAAACCAACAGCAAAGGGAAGTCAAGCAGTTCAGCCACTCTGAACCTGCAAAACCTCCTGGAGGACTAACAGTCATCTATGAAAACTCAACCCCACACAAGCCAACACCAAACCTAGGTCAGAAACTTACAGAGCTCAGGCCAGGAGGGCAGTAAACAGACTTCTCCCTGGATCATACCACCTGGGAATTATCAAAAACTTGCAGGTTCCAGACTGAGCTGTGAAAGCAGCAAAAGGATGTCTGAGGACAAATGCTTAGGCCAGACATCCCCCCAGAAGTGAGCAGAGCCTAACATTAACATAAAGCCCAAAGTCAAGAAGGAGACTGGAAAAATGAGCAAATAAAAATGAATCTGACCATTACTATGGTGATAGGGAAACTCAGACACAAAAACAGGAAGACAATGACTTGAAAACATCTACAAGCAAAGCCTCAAAGAAAAAGGCAGATTGGGCACAAGCCCAACAAGAATTCCTAGAAGAATAAAGAAAAGCTTTTTTTTTTTTAAGAGCAAAAAACTGATTTTAAAAACCAAAGAGTGTCAGAGGAAAAATTAGGAAAAGAAAGCTATGTAAGAAAATTGTGAAAAGAGAAATAACAGCTTTATAAAAGAGACTGACAAAACCTTACTGAAGAAAATAACTCCAAATAGAAACTTGATGACTCCACGAGATATCAGGAAATGCTAACACAAAGTCAAAAGACTGGGAAAAAATAGGAGAAAATGTAAAATACCTCACAGGAAAAGCAGCTGACCTAGAAAATGGACCAAAGTGAGGTATTAAATATCATTGGGTTACCCAAAAGCTATGAGCAAAAAAGCCTGGACTTCATATTTCAAGAAATTCTTTATAAAGGAAAAACTGCTCTGGTATCTTAGAATCAGAGGGCGAATTAGAAATCAAAAGAATCTACCAGTTACCTCCTGAAGAAAGCCCCAAAATGAAAACTCTCAAGAAAATTAGCCAAAATCCCGAACTCCCTCATCAAGAAGAAATCCTACAAGAGAAAAAACGAACTTTAATGAAATAGAAGACTTTCTAGCATTCCTGACAAAAAGACAAGAGCTGAATAAAAAGCTTGTCATTAAAAACATAGGACTCAGGAGAAGCATAAAAAGGTAAACATGAGAGAAATCATAAGAGACTAAACAGATTTAACTGTGTAC